AGACAGTCTTGTTTGGGCAAAGATTTAAGATTTTAAAGATTTTCAAATTAGAACAAGAAGAAACTTGTTTATCAATAACAAAAAGGCGACTTTGAATATTTTATAGGCATCTTTTATTTTTTAAAGTATTTATTTTCGTTGCCTTAGGGCCTGATTATATGAGGCGGGCTGTCCCGGTTGACCGGGCTGGCCCTGTTTACCGAGATCTCGGTTTGTATTCAAATACAAAAGATTCCGGCTGAGCGATTACATGGAAAGCGAGCCAGCCCAGTTTGCCGAGATCTCGGTAATCCACAACCGGATACCGGCGGACCGGGCTGAAAATTTCCCATATAATCAAAAGTCAGGCGGGTTGGCTCGCTTTAGTGCGCCCGCTGTCCAGAAGTGTGTCAGCTGTTTTTGCGTACAACACATGAGTGCAAGGACGTCACTCGTTTTAACTTTGCCTTTCTTAGCATTTTGTTAATGCGATGATGCTACAGAAGCTATTGCGTTATTATGATACTGGAAAAGCAGTGAAAAGAACATTCAAAATTGTGTTTGCAAATTTCCTTATCCTGGTCAAAGTATTATCTCTATTTTGTGGAGGTTTAAATTTCCGCACCAATCCTTCGCGGCAAAACTAAATTGATTCAGCTGGAATAATCCTGTCTCATATAATTGCGAGATGGGATGAATAAATAACTAGACCCTGTATGCAGGGTTGACACGTACCCTTTGTTGTGCATGATGTTGTGAGATCATTAGTAAATGAGGCCTTATTAAAACCTTACTGATACAGAATAAAGAAATGATTTGATCCATCGAGCCTTGCCAAGATATATGTGATTTTTGCGATAAGCTTATATGTGGTGGCTCTTAAAATTTCAGCTGTAACTGCCTTTGTGATTCTGCAGTATAATTTTAAGGTCAGATATACCCGGAGATATATAACTAGGCATGATTTGGTTACAACGTGACGCTTTATTAACTTTTGATATGATAGTAACACAATATTTTTGCACATCTACATTAAAACTCGACATATCTATTGCAGATGTTTGAATAGCCATGGAATTAATAAGCATTTTCTAAAGAGTTGTATTGATATTCAATCATTGGAACCCGATCATTATAATCGTTGCCGTTGCTTCACGAGTACTAAGCGTGTTGATCTCTGTAGTGAGATCTCCTCGTCATCATAATTCAACATACCCTTGCTCCGAACACCCAGACAAGTAATGAGTTCCAGATTTTGGTCGTAAACCTTCATGTTCTGTTCCATATTCGTTAGTAGAGACAATATTCATCAAAATGGCGGATAAAACATTGTGCACGAGTTGGAAATGTTGCGAACGGGATTATCGACAGCGTTCGGAATACACAACGTAATGTGATTGGCTACCGGATATATAATTCACAATGTGATTGGCTACGAAGATGTACCGAAGCCAAACTTTCGACATTGTGAAAAAACAAAAAAAACACAAACACAAACCAAGAAAGTGACAGCATTTTACTACACGTACCCCCTGCATAGCAGGGTACGTGTAATGATCTCGGCAAACCGGGCCAGCCCTCTTCATATAATCAGGCCCTTAGAGGTCAAGAATTTGAATTAAAAACGTATTCGATATCATGATATCACTTAGCGACATTTAGTCTACCACGTTTGATTTTATCAGTTCAGTTGTAAGGTWAAATACACTCTGTTCGCAGGGTATTAATCATACATGACCATTTAGGCCAAATTTAGATTTATAGAGTGCACGTCACATAAGCATGAAACAATTCTTAATATGTATTGCTAAATAAGATTTAGTTAAAGTGAAAGGACTGCAGCACTTAGAAAATTAAAATCGAAACGAAAATGTGTAGATGAGACCTTACGTTGCACCTTCAGTGGCAATAAAACTCAGTAATCATCGTCGATAAAAGTGAACATCGTTGATGAGTTACCTTTCAGGATGCGGTAATGCGCCATGAATCCAGTGCGTGTTATCYTTCCATTTGATCGGAATACCACCAAAAGCTGGTTAGTAGTCGACTGAATGATGGGTGGGTATCTACAAAAATGTACAATATGAATAAAGTCAGGACTCTATTCATTCTCAAGCTATTTCGTCAAACTTATCATTTTAAAGATATTATTCATCAAAATAAAATAACAATAATAATAAAAATCGAGTTATAGAACTGCTTGCCCACCACAGGGAGCTCGAAGTACCTTTTCTTGCATGTTTAAAAAATTGTAAAAAATCGGATTTCAATAAAATCGTGCCATTTTTCGCCAACGTTCTAAAAACCCTCCCTAATTTTAGAAAAAAATGTAATTTTTTAGTGGTTAGGTGCACTTTAAACATTACAAAATAAATGATCTCAATGCATAATATAGTGTTTGACAGTCTCTTCTTCTACGGCCAWAATAATACTCAATCTGCAATAACAACTGAAATAACTATATACTTAGATCACTAAAAAAGGACCACTTATCCGAAGCGTACTTTCCAATAGTTTGACAAAAACATAAACACAGAAGCTACGATAATGCTACGATAATGGGGGTTCCCTGCTAGTATTCTTACCATGTCTCATCCAATTTTTCAAACAATACATGAACAAGGATTCATAAAACCAGCATGAAATGAAGTAGTCACTGTAATGACACATGCATCAATAGCAATCCCTCTTGTAATGAAGATCTCACCTTATACCACAATATCGACCAATTCTTTTACCACCATCATAAACATCAACAGAGTCATTCTCACATCGTGTGCTCATTTCCAACTCAAACTCGGCGACATCTAGACGAATGACGTAACCTTGCTTCGCTATAATGGTCGAGTTGCAGCTAGCGTTGTTGCTATAGTAACTTGGATAACAGGGAGACATGATGGCGCCAGTCAAGTTTGTAAATATTTCATTGCACGCTGTGAATTAAAAATCACGCGATTATGAACAGCGACAATATTATATGTACACATTATCGTAATAATTCAAAAATCTACGCACCTTCTCCTGCTGAAGCAGGTAACACGGGACAATACTCTTCAGTGGTATATAAAGCTCCTATCGATATCAGTCCTGGTGCATTAGACATTTCGCCCTTGATGGCTATCTACAAACACAAATCATATACTGGTATTAGATTACCTCAAAATTGCTATAAACGCCTAAAAAAAGCGAAGTGAGATTCCAACATCTAATTTTATGTGATTAAAGAGAGAGGGGGTGGGGCAACGTCCAAAATTAACTAGAACTTTAATTAGAAACTGAAAAATCAACGGGGTCAGATTCGAAAACTTCTCAAGAAAAGCGTGGCACGAT